ATCGTTGTAGGATAGGTGTGCATGAGGTAAGATTGTCAATGAGCTAATAATTGTTGAAGCTAAATGGTAAGTATGTGGGGGCTCATTATACTGAACTATTTTTGTATATATCTGAAATTTTCTGACAGACTAGGGGGACATCTATACACCTCTTGCTCTGGAATATTAAGAAGAAAGTTACATAAAATAAAGGCTAAGATAGTTAAATAAAAATAATTAATAATCACTCTAAATGTAAAATCAAAAGACATTTTGAATAGTTTCAGTAAAGTTGGAGGCAAGTAAGTAACAAGAGGGTCTAGGAAAATACGTAATCAACAATTCTATGACAGTCAAAAACAAACAAAATACAATTGTTTTTTACTATTCACAGTGGTTATGTTCTAGGAAGTCACCATGAACACTGGATTAGTGATTATTGAATCATTGCTCCAAGGAAATATGCAGAATCAGGTTTCCAGGAACCTCTGGTCACATTTTTCTCAATTGATTAATACATAACCATGTTTTACAAGTGTTTCTGTTTAAAGACACCTTCTTTAATATACAATGTTAATTCAGTAACACCGAAATAGCACCATAACATGCCTGAACAAAGTTTATTTTTTTTCCATAAGACACATCATACCCTTCAGCACTACATTTGGAAGCAATTTTAGACACCTAAATCCAAGCAAAAACCATAAAAATGTTAAGTATGTAGCACTAAATAGACCATGAAAAGAACACCTGTGAACTGTATGAGAGTTGAAACAAGAAGCTACAGCATAACATTTTCCTACCTCAGGAGGGAGCTTGCTCATTGGTTACTCAAATTTTTTGCCACCCTGCAAATGCTCATAGGTGCCCATGAAAGTACCTTGAGTATTGATCTTGGGGTTCAGAAAAAATTTTAGCAAGTAGGTGAATTTGAAAAATATGAAGTCTGCAAATAACAAAGATCGAGTATATTTTCAAATGAATCTTTCGTTTTATTAAGATAGCTTATAGGATCAACTTTGATTTTTTGTGGAATCTTGTAATGGGATAAATCAACGTTGTTTCATGTCTTTCTCCAGAAACGACCAGGGCCCCAGGGCAAAAAAAAAAAAAAAAAAAAAACCTGTGAAGTGAGTGAGCTTTGAGCAGTTGGCTAAAAGTATGGAGGAAGGTCAACTGGGTGAAAGAGTTTAATGTAGCAAACTTAGCATTGCTAAAATGATTAACCCAGAAGTAAAATATGGGGAAGGAATATGATAAAGTCACAGTAGATTAAGGGAAGTGAAGCCAAGGAAGGTTAAAAACAGGTGTAATATACATGTGAAAGAATAGAGGAAAAAAACACATGAAAAGTTATTAAAAACAATTTAAAAAAAAATTAATGACATACCATTTTATGGTTTCAGATTGAAAGCATATAAAGTAACTTGGGATCAGAGTAATGTGAGGCCGGCACTCTAATACTGTGAGTCAGCACTAAGTATAGGAAAATGGAAGTTGGAATCAGCCTGGCCCATTGAAAAGCATACCACTCATATATGTATGTGTGCCCAAAGTCCTGAAGGGAAGGAAAAAATGAGGGGGAGAAAGGTTATGGTATGACCATACTCCATTGAGGGGAGTTCTCTCTCTTTCTCACATACAACCTCTAGTAATTAAAAAACAAAAAACGTTACAAATGGAACTTAGAGCGTACACTATACATAGGGTCTATCAAATCACGAAATAAAATTTACAGGAATATTTAGTGTTATACCCAAGGAATCAGTTATTGTTCCCTCCAAGATTGTTTTATTCGTAATTCCGAGGATGAAGACAGATGTGGAAGTCAAAATATTCATGTCTGCCAAAGGCACAAAGCTGACAGCACTAGCTTATATACTAGAAAGCAAAATCAGGGTTCAAAAAGAAGTCTATGTTCTAGAGCAAGATGTAATAGACTTATTCTTTTTTCCCCAGGCTAAATACAGCTAAGAAGCTAAGACAAACAAACAAAAAATCATGGACATTAGTAATAATAAAAATATTAAAAGATCCTGAAGGTAGAGAGAAGCAGGAAGAAGGAATAATACCTCAGGATTCAAAATAGCAGTGAGCTCTCTGGATTTTCTTTTTGCTTCATATATCCTGGACTTAGAGCTAAAGAAATCTGGAAAACTGGCAGCCTACCAAAAGATACATATAAAAAATAAGCTCTAAGAAAAGCCTGTCTTCTCTAGTCATAGAATCAGAAAGGAAACAACCTAGAAAGACAGAAAACCATGGCCCAGTGGGAGGCTTCCATGTTAACCAGGCTGTAACACTGTTATATTCTACCAGTCTGGTGCCAAAATAGGTTGAGTGGGAGAGACAGACTTTCATCTCTTCCAGATGATAATGAAGCCACCACCCTGTGGTGACCATGTGGGGAACCTGAACTAGCACTGATATCTAGACATAACTTTCCCTCCTACTAGGGAGGACATGTAGTTAGAAGTCAAAACTTTCACCACTGCCAAGCAGTAATAAAATCATTACCTCGTGATGTCAGTGAGGCCACCAGGAGCAGTACCAAGGTGCTCCTAGCTAAAGTGGTATCAAAGAGAACTAGTGGGAAGCCTGAAATTCCAACTCCATGCAGCAATAATGAAGCACTAGTCCTGCTTCTGGATAAATGAGTGGGGAATGAGGTGGCACCTCCTTCCACCTCCCTCCTGCCAGTGTGTTGTGAGTGGAGTCCTACTAAAACAGAAGATTTAAATGAGATCTAGAATTTCATAATATTCCAATGTCCAGGATACATTTGAAAACCATTCATCAAACAAAGCACCAGGAAAATATTAACTTGAATGAGACGAGGCAATGAGATGGCAAAAATGTTGGAATTATCTGAAAAATATTTTAAAGTGGTCATCACAAACATGCCACAATGAGCAATTACCACCATGTTGGAAACAAATGAATGTGTGTGTGTGTGTGTGTGTGTGTGTGTGTGTGTGTACAAAGTCTCAGCAAATAAATAGCAAATATAAAAAATAATCAAATGAAAACCCTAGAATAAAACTGCAATAACCAAAATAAGGAATTTACTAAATGGGCTTACAGGAAAAATGGAGATATCAGAGGAAAGAATCAGTGAACCTGAAAAAATAGAATGACAGAAATGATCTAATCTAAACAGAGAGGAAAATAGGTTTTTAAAAAAAATAAACAGAAGCTCAGAAATCTCTGGACCTATAACAAAAACAGTTAACATTTCTATCATTAGAGTCCCAGAAGGAGAAGAGAAAGAAAATGAGACTAATAAAAGTATGTGAAGAAATTTGGCTAAAGTTTCCAAATTTGATAAAAGACATAAACCTACAGATTCAAAAACAAAATAAACCCAGAGAACCAAATAAACCCCCAAAAATTCATACCAAATGTATCATCAAAAGTTTGACAACTAAAGACAAAAGCACACAGTAAGAGAGAAATGACACTCAAAATTTTTTTTGTTTTTAAATTCTCCAGAGGATACATGTGCTTGCTGGAGAAAGGTAAAGAGAGAGAGAGAGGGAGAAATCATTCTTCTCTTCTGGAGGGCATGGTCATGCCACAATCTCTTCTCCTCCATCTGTCCCTCTTTTCATGATTTTGGGGCTCACATGTGCACACACACACCCAGCATAGTTTTCAAGCTACTGGGTTTAGGACTTGCACCACACGGTCTGCCATGTAGGATCTAACTTCCTTAACCACCAGACCATGGGCTGCCCCAAGAAAAAAACGATGCTAATATCAACAGATTTCTCTTAGAAAACATAAAGGACTTGATTAAATGCTAAAAGAAAAGAGCTTTCAATATCGAATTCTACATCAAAAATTGTTTCAGAAATAGGAAAGTGAACACTTGCAGACAAAGAAAATATAAGAGAATTTGTCATCCCCAGAACTACACAAAAATAATGTGGAAAGGGGGTTAGTTCTGCGGCCTGGTAGTTAAGATGGCCAGATCACATATCACCAGTCTTGGGGTTTGAGTTCCAGACTTGGCGTCTTGAGAAGCACACCAGGCATGTGTGCGTGAGTGTCCAAAAGGAGGGAGACATGGAATAGAAGGGATTATGGTGTGACCATTCACCAGAAGGGAGGGGAGGAGATGCTCTCGCTCCCTGGTGAACACACATATACTCAAGCAAATAAAAAAAAAATTAAGTGGCTAAAGGAAATTTCTGAAACTGGGGAAAAATGATTAATAAAAGAAATCTTAGAAAATCAGGAAAACAAAAAAGCAAAATTATGGGTAAATAGACTTTCCTTCTTCTTTTCACTTTTCTGAGTTGTGTTTGGCAGTTAAAATAAAATATAGCCTGATGTGGTTCTCAAAATATAGAAGAAACATTTAATATTTACATTAATATTTAATATTTTAAAAGTCTTTGTATTTCTAGATAAAACAGACAAAGGTAGAAGTACTTATAGGGAGGCAAATTTTCTATTCCACACTCCCACTGAACTAAAAAAATGTCAATACCAATAGATTGTTATAAGAATACACACACACACACACACACACACACACACACAAAGAAGTCACTAAAATGTTTCTACAAAGAGATAAAATTGCTAATAAATAAAAACAGAATTCTAAAAAGATGTTCCGCTATGACAATATTTATATAACATTCTGGAAAATACAAAAATCACTGAGACGTAGAAAAAATTATTGATAGCCAGATGTTAGTGATACACAAGGAAAGAATATTACTCTTTAGATCTTGGTGGTGAAGAAATAGTTCTCTATCTTAACTGCCATAGTGATTACACACACCTACATGTAAGATGGAATCCCATAGAACTAGGCACATACTTTGTGCCACTGCCAGTCTCCTGGATTTTATATTGCACTATAGTGATATGAGATGTAACCACTGGAAAAACTTGACATATAGTATGATACTCCCCTGTACTATCTTTACAACTTCTTGTAAATCTATAACTATTTCCAAAAACAGAGTGCAAAAAAAATATGCAGGATACTAACAGGCAAAAGCACTTACCTGACATGCATCTCTTCTTCCTTTAAGGAAGCCAGCACATAACATTCTTGGAGTTATGGCACCATTGTAAGATTGAGGTTCATTGCAAGTTTTAGTGTCTATAAGTTCCACCTGTACTTGCCGCAGGTGATTTTGACTGCTCCCTAAAGGGAAAAAAGTCTTTGTATTTAGAAGCATAAAGCTGAAGGAAATATTTCATAATTACTAGGTAAGATAGTCATGTAAAACAGTATATGGGTTTTTTAGATGCAAAAATATTTTGGAAGACAATTTTTTTCTTAACTATTTTCAATTAAAAGCTAAAGTTTTTAAAGATAATTTCCACTGTATTATTAAGCTTTGAGTTAAATTTTGGTGGAAAATAATGGTGACTTTTTGACTCTCACATTTGGACATGTATTACTTATAAACAGGGTAGGTAGAGGAACCTAGGGGAAATAAGTTTTCTATTCCACATTCCACTGTCAAAGTCAATGCCAGCAGACTGTAATAAGACATACGCACAGACACATAACTCAGAGGAACCACTAATATTTCTCTACAAAGAGATAATCAAAAACACTAACATGTAATCTGTTAAGGCAAATTCTCTAATAAAATGTTCATTGGCTATGACGCATATTTACTCTTTCAGACATCTTTCCAGCATCTTTATTATAGTAGTAGTGATGTACTTACAGTAACCTAAGGCAAGAATAAATGTATGTATCCTAATAAATGGCCTAGTTCACTTGTATGGCCCAAATGACTCAGGTCTGAATGACCAAACAATCAACTATTTTGGCATAATGATATTCCATTCTTTTTTTATTTTTAAGGTTTTTGCTGTAGAACATGTGCATTCTGGAGAGACAGACAGTGAGAGGAAAAGTGAGAAATCACCCCCTAGGGATGATGGCCATGCTGCAGTGTCTTCTTCTCCATTCTCCTCCTGAGATTTTAAGTATTCATGCACACATGCCTGGTGTAGGTTTCAAGCCACCAGGTCTGTGATTCAAACTACAATTGGCCACATGAGAGTCCACCTCCTTTAACCACCATACCACCTGTTTGTCCCAGAAATTCCATTCTTTAAATGTTGTAGAATACCAAATTAAATTACTATGATTTGAGTTTTCTTTAGGTGCTCACCATCATTTTGCCGTGCTCCAAATCCTGTCACAAACATATCATCACCTGGGTGGAACTCATAGGATGCATCAGGGAGGCAAACTCTGTGTACGGCATTTGTGTAGGGCACAGGGCTAGTACGGCATTGTGTTAGGGAACAGGGCTAGACAGCTCTGCAACCGCAATGTCATTCTCATGTGATGGGTATTTGTAATTTTCATGGACAATTATCCTCCGGAGGCCTCGTTTCATTTTTGGAGGCTTTACGGTTACTCCAAAAGATGCAGTCCATCTGGCTGGATCCTTATATCTGGGGAGGAAAAAAGAAAAATGGGAAGAAATTCATTTACCATCTTATCAATACAATAATTAAAATGAATAAATTCATTTATCATGTTACTAACATAACCATTTACATTATGTAATTTAGTCCTTAGGTATCAACGTTAAGTTTTGTTTTCTTTTTTAAAGTTAGTTTCTATGTCTGGGAACAAACTCTTTCCAATCTGAACATCAGATTCAGGGAATGCTATGGTTTTGATAGCAGTTTTTCCTCCCAAGTTTTACGTTCTGGAGCTTCATCCTAGATTTAATTGCTCTGGCAGGTAGTGAGGGTCCGGGACACGAACCGCGGTCGACTACGTGGGAGTCCAGCGACATAGCCATTACGCTAACTGCTGGTTCCCAGGGAATGCTATGGTTTTGATAGCAGTTTTTCCTCCCAAGTTTTACGTTCTGGAGCTTCATCCTAGATTTAATTGCTCTGGCAGGTAGTGAGACTGTCAGGGGAAGCCTGCCTTCAACATATTTAGGCTTCTTATCAGAGAGGACTGGTGTTTGCATGTGTGGACAGAGAAAGGACGGCCCCTCGGTGTGGATAGGCACCATCCAATTATCTGAGAGCATGGCAAGAACAAACAGGAAGTGGAAAGTTGGTTTCCTTTTCCTCTGTCTATTTCTCTACACAAACCTCTCTTTGCCTCTGCTTCTGTCAGCTATGTTGTGACACAGTGTCTTAAGCTGGCCTCATACCAGCCCCTTTGAATTTCCCAGCCACCAGAACCTTGAGCTAATGATCGTGTAAAGACTCTCCCCGCAAAGGGTATCTCAGAGATTTTTTGAGACTGCTCTATCTCTGATGGGCTCAGAAGCCTAAGGGGGAAGAATGGTTTCTGTGAAAGGGCCCAGGGTAGGCATACTGCCTACACAGGCTGTAGCAACCTGTATCCCAGCACAGTGCTTGATTGTTCCAGCCATGACTCAATTGGTCCCATGTGTGGCTTAAGCCACCATTCAGGAAAGCATGGATGTTGGCTAATGCAGGCAGCAACCTCTGCACAGGTGTAGTGCTAATTCTGCAGGCATGCAGAAGGCAAGAGCTGTGGGGTATGGCAGCCTCCCACTAGCTTTCAAAGGATACATCCAAAAGCCTGGGAGCTCAAGCAAAGGCCTACCTCAGAGGCAGAGCCACCAAGAGCCTTTACTAGGGCAGGCCAAGTAGTAAGGTGGGGTTAGAGCTAAAAAGCTCACCAGGAGGGCTATTCCTAGTGGAACTACAGGGACACAGTTGCCCTCAGGACTCAGGATTCTAGAACTACGGCAGTGTGCAGTGACCCCCTGAGAAAGCTTCTGGCACTGGACTCCAAGTATGAATAGTCGTGGGGGTTGTGACCAGCAAAGCCCTAAGGTCAGGACCAGCCAGAGCCTCAGAGCCCCATCCCCCACTGGAGAGTATTGGACATGGGGTCAAAGAAGATCATTCTCAAGCTTTAAGATGCAATGCCTGGGAACCAGCAGTTAGCGTAATGGCTATGTCGCTGGACTCCCACATAGTCGACCGCGGTTCACGTCTTGGACCTGGTGGCTTAAAACTCACACCGGGCGCATGTGTGTGAGTGCCCAAGATCCCGAGAGGAGAATGGAGGAGAAGGGATTGCGGCGTGACCATTCCCCCTGGGGGGTGATTTCTCGCTTTCTGTCTCTATGTCTCTCTCTGTCTGGCGAGCGCACGCATCCTATAGCGAAAAAAACCTCTCAAAAAAAAAAAAAAAAAGATGCAATGCCTGTACTTTAGAATTTTGATCTCGCTTGCGGTCTGTTACTCCTTTCTTTTTGGACAATGGGAATTTCTACCCTGTTTGACCCAGTGTTATATTTGGTAGGTTGCTATTTTGCTTTTATGATTTTACATACTCACATCTGAAGGGTTCACCTGAGTCTCGGATGAAAGGACTTGAACTTTTGGGGTTAATTCCAGGACAAGTTAAGACCTGGGTATGGGGGGCGGCAGGTGGCATGGTGGTAAAGGGCACTGGACTCCCACATGGCCAACTGTGGTTCAAGTCTCAGATCTGGTGGCTTGCTTTCCCACTTTCCCTCTCTCTCTTACTCTGTCCCTCTCTGGTCAATTAAGTAAGTGAAATAAATAAATAAACAAAGATACATAAAATAATTCTTTAAAAAAAATACTTAGAGGGACTACTGGAATGGAATTCTTATATTTTATATTTGAGAAAGACATAAACCACAAGGGTAGAATACTGTGACTTGGAAAATGGTTTGTCTCCCTAAAGCTCATATTCTGAAAGCTTTGTCCTGAGTGTAATGGCTATGGCAGGTGGTAAGATCATTAAGAGGGGGACCAGTAGATGACATAATGGTTACGTCACTGGACTCCCACATAGTTGGCCACAG